TTTTTTTTTTTTTTTTTTTTTTTTTTGGAATGACCCTTCGGAATACATACTGGAATCATGGGCCTGGAGGCCCTGGACCCACTTGCGAAGTGTTGGACGAGGTGTGACACAGTTTTATGTTTTTTTTTTTAAATGCAAAGTGATTTTTTATTTGCATGAATGGATCGTTTTCTGTTTCAAAATGACTTCTAGACTTCTAGTAACCTGTGCAACACTCTGTGTATGGTAGGGTTATTGCAGTCTGTATGGTAGGGTTCTTGCAGGCCAAATTCAATCATGAAGAACTTTTAGTAACATGTGTAACACTCTGTGTATGGCAGGGTTATTGCAGTTTGTATGGTAGGGTTCTTGCAGGCCAGATTCAGTTATGATGAGGGTCGCGATCTCTCAAAACGTTCTCTTCTTTTAAATCTGAAGTAGAAAACGACGGAACTGACAGCCGTTTTTCCTGGAATTTTTTTTTTTAATAAAAAGAAAAAAAATGTAAGGGAAGAAAATCAGAATTTCTTTGCATCAGTGTTGCCTGTTGCGTCCAACCTGTCAGAACCCCAATGGTAATTGCAGTCTGTATGGCGTTGGAGACGTTAATTTTGTTTTTTTTCGGTCCTGCACCGCGCCGCAGACCATTTCTTTCTTTCTTTGTTTTTTTGTTTTTGTTTATTTTTTTTCTGTCACATGCCGCGCAGTTCTGCTGTTGAAAAAAACAGCCCCATGGTTGGGCCACGGCCGAGATGTCTCGGCCACACCCTAGACTGGCCACGGCCGAAATGTCTCGGCCACACCCCAGACTGGCCACGACCGAGATGGCCAGTGCTTTGATGAATGTATCTGGCTAGGAAGTGAGGAACATGAAACAGGTAGTTTTCGTTTTTCGTTTCTTGTTGTGAGGTCCTTGTAGCGCCTTGCCAGCCGGGCAGGGCGGATTCCACGCTTCATTGAGTTCCAGACAAGTACTGTAGCTGCAGTGTAGCATCTTGTATCGGACCGCAATCACAGCATAAGAGAAGTTTTTTTCTTCTTTTTTGTTTATCTGCTGTTCGTGGATAGACGAGGGCCCTGCCTGAACTGCATACGGCCAAGTTCCAATTGCAATTGAAACTCGGACCCTGTGTAGCTGTGATTGCGGTCTCAAAACCAAAAAAAAAAAAAAAAAAAAAAAAAAGTCTGGAAATCAACCCCCCATGCAAAGCTATCATGTCCAAGTTAGTCCAACTTTTTTTTTTTTTTTTTTTCAATGCATGTTATTGGACGGGAGGTGGGCATCTTTAGATTCTTTACAGTCCCCGCTAGTGGGTCCAGGCCCCAGGGCGGATCTCAGCGGTTCTGGGGCCTTCTTGTTTCTTCTTTTCTTTTTCGGAAAACGGCCTGGCCCTCCGACGTGGATGACTAGACTGCAGTTACAAACTCTGCCCTGAGACAACCCTGCGTCGCCGGAGTTTGGGAGTTAGTGGGATCGCCCTCTTGGATTCGGATGTTCCGCCCTCTTGTTAGTGGGAGACTGGGAGTTAGTGGGATCGCCCTCCTGGATACGGATGTTCCGCCCTCCTTTTAGTGGGAGTTAGTGGGATCGCCCTCCTGTTAGTGAGATTTAGTGGGATCTCTCTCTCTCTCTCTCTCTCTCTCTCTCTCTTTTGTTGGTGTGTGGAGTTAGTGGGATCGCCCTCTTGGATGCGGAAGTTCCGCCTATCGAATGGTTGCCTTGCGAAGATTCCGACATTCTGCTTGTTTCTGTAAGTCTTTGTGTGTGCATCGTGGGTCGGGTTTTTTTTTTTTTTTTTTTCATCATTGCAAGGGACAGAGAAAATCGGCGTTTTTTTTTCCTCCAAATTCTGAGTTTTTTTCGTTGTTCTTTGGTTGTTTGTTTTTGCGTTTCATGTCATTTTGTGTTTTCCCTTTGATGTCCATGTGTTCTGCACTTTTGCGTTCGTTGTTTTTCCCCGTTTCATAGCATGTGTTTGCCGCTCTGACTGCCGACTTCGATCTCTGTCGCGAGTTAGCAACATTCTCAGAGGGTTCCGACATCGTCTTCTTCTCGCGGGTAGAGGCTTTCATCATGTCGCAGGACCGGGGGAAGGATCCGATAGACTCGTCTACAAGCGCCCGACAAGGTCATAACACGAAGACGTTTGACTCCCCGTTCAAGGTCAACCCGAAAGTCGACGGCAAGAGGGACGACTTAGTGTGGCATTTCGTAGCCGGAGGACGTTATTTGGATGGGTCGACGACGGCGGGTAGGAAGAGCGGTCGTCGATGCCTGTGCAGGTTGTGCGGACGTTCGATTTGTGGGGGCGCTAAAGCCGCCAAGGAATACTTCTCAAAGAGCGAGATGTTATGTTGTGAGGCAGCCACTCCTGCTATGTGGAATGCGATCTGGTCGAAGGACATGACAAAATGTCCGAAGGAGTTCGCGTCGGCCATAGAAGCGTTGCAGAGCTTATTGCCAGGCCATTCGAGCTTGCAGTGGTCACCTCTTCGATTCCCCAAGGACGCAGTGCCACCGCCGGTTCCTGCCACCGCCCCTTCAGGACGGGTCGCATCGCCCAATTCTGGGGCTCTGGCTATTCGAGTCACGACAACGCGTCCTGCAACAACAGTTGCAACACAACCGGCCGCCCCACCGTCTGCACCACTGGCTGCGACACGAGGTGCTCGCGATGTGGAAGTTGGTCGTTCCACGCCAGCCAACGAGCCCCCGCCTGTGAGGAATAGTGCGGGCTCCGCGACATTCGACGAGGAGAGCACACGTGCTTTTATTGAGAGTCGCAGGTGGGGGGGGAGTGTCGGCAGTTCAGCCGTGCTCGCCCCTGTGTTCAAGGGTGCTAGACAGTCACATGCTGCACAATGTGGTGCTGCGGTGGCGCCCGGCGCATCGCCCCACAGTTCATCGGAGCACCCCTGGTTGCCACCGCCCCCGTCGCGAGCGGCGCAGCGTCCAGTGGTCCACCACACTCATGCAACCGCCCTCCTGGATCCGTCACACGCACCTGCAGATGGTCGACAATCTGCCTCCGTGCCTCGTTTCGGGGAACAGGCGGATTATGGGGTGCCTGCAAAGGAGGTCCCCGCTCCGGTGTCCGATTCATCGCCGACCCCGATTCCGACAACGACGGGTGGTGGTCGGTCTGCCCCACAGCCTCCACCCTTGTTGACCAGATCGTTAGACCCTTTGCAGCGCATTCGCGACCTTGCAGTTGCCCAGAGCGCGACACCTGTGAGTCCTGGCGAGTTGTTGGATACCGGGGTCCTCGGCGGGAGAGCCACGACAGGATGATGCCGGGGCACTTACAGGCAGCAGGCCGTCACGTCATTTTATTTGGACCTCTTGGAGCGCGCGTGACATCTGCAAATCATGCAGTTCATCGTCGAGTGCGGAATAGCGTTCAACTGCTCGAAGCTTGAAAGTTTCAAACGCATGTTCACGATGATAATCCAGTCGGGGGTTCCGGGGGCGCCCGTGCCTAGACTTCCCTCCTACCACATGCTGCGCACGACCCTTTTTGATGAGCTGGATGGTGAGGTCCAGAAGTGTGTTCGGTCAGTGCTTGACACGTCGAGAGAGACCGGTTGCACAATCATGACCGATGGTTGGACCAACATCCGCGGCCAGACGTTGTACAACTATCTTGTTGGGACAGAGATCGGGGTAGTGTATGTGGCCACCGACGTCATGCGAGGCAAAAAGTACGCCAGTGCCCTCGTGAACGCATGGTTGAAAAGGGTGAAGTCCATGGACATTCAATTGAGCGACATCACAGCGTTCGTGACGGACTCCGCTGGGGTGAACGTTGCGGCGATGGAGGTATTCCAAAAAGATGAGAGCGTGAAACACATCTTCTGGATTCCTTGCGTCGCCCACATCATGGACCTCATTCTCGAGGACAT